GTGGGGCCTCTCGGTAGAAAGACTGAATCCATGCCAAGAATGGAGACCACAGGGGTTACCAAGAAGGGTCCCTCATTTTTAGACTCCTCTAGGAGGACTCCCAAATCCCAGCGAGAATTCTGAAACATCGCAGAAACCTCTGCCTCACCTCCTCTGGCCACTGAATCCTGACAGTGACACCAAAGTCCAGAGAGGTCAAGGATGTGTGAGGGTGCACAGCAGTGCAGAGCGGCTGAATGAGACCTTGGACACACAGCAGACAGGACCAGTAGATCCTCACATGAAGGCACAGAACCTGACACATAGTAGGTGCTCCAGAGACACTAGAAGGAATGGCTCTTTCCTGCTACTGGACACATTGTCCCACTACCTGTGAAGGGTCAGCATCTTTGACCCAACCTCCCGTCAGAGCCACCATTGCATCTTCTGTTTAGCCTAGAGACGGCAGAGCAGGTGTCTATGGAATTGTGTGGGCTCTTGAGCACCAGAGGCCAGTGTTGAGCCCAGCATGGGAGGGCAGCTGGTGGCCTGCCAGCTCTCCCACTCATTTTGAGCAGATGGTGGTTTCACAGGGAGGCCTTGCCTTGCCATCTGCAGAGACACCTTCAAACCTGAAGCACAGAAGGGACGAAACAAACGCCTCTTAAGACCTCCAGCACCACCTACTTCCTAACTAAATTGACACTGTCATCCCCTCCCGGGAGAGTCTAGAAACACCACACCAATGTGCCAAAGTGACTCCCGACTCCTACTCCAGATCCTGAGGCTTGGGGCCAGATTGCCCTGATATCCATTCCCTGCTTGTGTGTAAATGATGACAAGAAATAGCACGTCTGGTTTGACAAGTGACCATTCTGTCTTCTTGGGCTCTGACAGCAGACAGGTATGGCACTTATGGAGCTCCCACTTTGGAGCTGTGGATGGGTGGACATCCCTCTCTTGTGTTGTTTTCAGACCAGTGCAATGGATGGCTCTGGGTTTACTGCAGTTAAGGGATGGACAAGCCACAGCTCTTATGGCACATGAATTATCTGGTGTGGAGAGGTGGAAGGTGCGTTTCCAGCTGGCCAGACGAATAAGGGTGGCTTGGGAGGGCAAGAGGGATTCAAGGACAAATGCAGCTCCTGAAAGTGGCAGGCAGGGCTGGTCATGCTCCGAGGTGGCCTCCGAAGCAACCACCTGGAGTGATGGACAGAGATTTTGCCAGCCAAGAAACACATAGGGGGTAGGTGAAGCTGCCACAGGCAACAAGTCCTTCTCTGTTCCCAGGGCCCCAGGAGACCCAGGAGGCCTGAAGCAGCCCACATGTTGCAGCGTGTAAATATCAAGCTGATGTTTGAACATTTCAGGGCAGTCTAGCCGTGGACTCCCTTCCAGTGTTAATGGTCCCCGAGCAGGGGCTGGGTGGGACCTGCCTGCATATCCATTGTCCAGGCTGAGCAGACAAGGGGCAGGCCCTCAGACACCCTGTAGAGAAAATTGAGGGTGGACAAGGAGCTCTTCCAGTCCCCACTTACAGCTCACTGGACAGCAGGGGACACCGAATCACAAAAAGAAGGCTGTTGTCCAAGGCAAGTTGGTGATGGGGTGGGACCCCACATGGCAATGTCCACTCTTCCTAGTCCCCCTTCCATTCCTGCCCTTTGTCTTTCCATCCATGCTTCCTCCCTTCCTCTCTTCCCTTTTCCTCCTCCCTTACTTAATCCTTTTCTCCCTTCTTCCATTCCTTCCTTCTTGTGTTGATTTTTAACATGAGGAAATTATGTTTTTGTTGTTGTTTTGGTTTTTCAAGACAGAGTTTCTCTTTGTGTAGCTCCGGCTATCCTGGAACTCACTTTGTTGACCAGGCTGGCCTCAACCTCAGAGATCCACTTGGCTCTGCCTCCCAAGTGCTAGGACTGAAGATATGTGCCACCACCCAGTGGAAGTTATGTTTTCAAAATGGAAATAGTTCCTTTTTCCATCTAATTAAAAAATTAAGATTTTGGGCTGGAGAGATAGCTCATCAGTTAAAAACACTGGCTGTTCTTCCAGAAGACCTGGGTTCAATTCCCAGCATCCACATGGCAGCTCATAACTATCTGTAGTTCCAGTTCCAGGAAATCTGACCTCCTCTGGGAGGCAGAGGCAGGTGGATCTCTGTGAATCTAAGGCTGGCCTAGCCTACAGCAAGAGTTCTAGGACAGCCAGGGCTGTGCAAAGAGTCACTGTCTTGTGTAACAGTTCTGGCTGTCCTGGAAATCTCTCTGTAGACCAGGCTGGCCTGGAACTCACAGAGATACGCCTGCCTCTGCTTTCCAAGTGCTGGGATTAAAGGCATGAGCCACCAACGCCCTGGTCCCGAAGAAGAAGAAGAAGAAGAAGAAGAAGAAGAAGAAGAAGAAGAAGAAGAAGAAGAAGAAGAAGAAGAAGAAGAAGAAGAAGAAGCAGCTTTTTTTCTCCATTTGAAAAATAAACTATTTTACAAAATAAAGTACAACAGTTGTCCCAGCCCCTGGGGGACAACCACTGGAACCATTTTGCTAGCACCGGTGGCTGCTGACTGCTGTCCAGACTCTGCTGGAGCCTTGAAAATCTGCGGCATTCTGAGATTTCTTTTTGGGGTGATGGGAATATTCTAAAATTAGTTTATGATGATGGTTGCAGAACTCTGTAAATACCTAAAAATCATTGAACTGTGCATTTAAAACGAGTTGGTTTTATTGTGCATAAATCTCACAGCAGCAAGGCTGTTTAAGGCTCTGTCATCTTGAGTGGCTGCTCCTATGGTTGGCTAAGGTGGCTGTGATCAGTTTCCACGTCTCACAGGGGAAGGAAAATTTGAGGCTCAGAGGGCAGAAGTCACATGACACTCATCTGGACTCCCACTTAGGCTCCTACAGGCCCTCGGGGACATCTCCCAAGACACCTGATACAGATGCCCCTGCGTTGATATTTCCTGACTCAGCAGCATGAGAAGAAAGCTCCATCTTCACCTCCAGGAGTGTGTCCCTGCTCAGAGCTTCAGTTTCCTCATCAGTGAAATGGGACTCCGTGCAGCAGCTCTAGGGTTCTTGAGATGATGCCCTGAGAGCCTGACTGTGGAAGACCTAACTGAGGGAGCCCACGGGGGCGCTCAAAACCTGGCTCTCCGTCTGGCTATGTGCTCTGCAGAGGTGCTGGAGGCTCAGGCAGGTGAGAACTACTCACCTATGATTTCCCTCCCCGTTCAAGCTATTGGTCTCCTCGGCTGCTAAGACCAGGTGCATGGGAGCCAGAGGAGAAAAGAATAGCAAGGCTCTAAATAGATGCTGTAACTGCTGTCTACCAGGCTCAGCCACCTCCTTTCTTCTGTACTTTGAGGGGAAACAGCCCCACCCCACACATGGAACAGGGCTAGCACAGGGAGCGAGGGCACCAGGGAAGGCATCTGGAAGGGGTTGGCTGAAGGGACTTGGAGGTTGGAACCAGTGAGGGACATGGGGACAGGAGAGCAGAGAAGGCAAACCATGTCAGAGAGACTCCAACCATTTCCTCCACAAACTGCCATGCAAGTCGGGACCAGTGTGGACTGGCTGAAGATAATCAGGCCACTACGGCTCAACTGGGGATCTGGGGCTTAGTTTTGAGGGGACAGGATCCAAAGAAGGATTCAGCTAGAGGCAATTAGGAGAGGGAGCTGTATAGAGTTCCCTGCTGGTAGACTAAGAACAG